ACATTTTTCTAAGGGGTTAGTCCATGGTTTTTGTCCGAAAATCGAATTTCTTTTCATTTTGGTTTTTGGAATGATCAAGTCAGAAAACATTTTTCTTCATATTTTGGATAGAAAAGAAAGATTTCTAGACCCGAAAAGTAACGTTTTAAAAAGTGCCAAAAAATAGACATTATCGTAAGGGGATAATCGATTGTTTTTGTTCAAAAATGGAACCTCTTTTCACTTTTTTTCTTTGGTATAATTAAGTCAGAAGAAATGGTTTTTGATATTTTGGATAGAAAAGAATGCTGTTTAGACCAGAAAAGTATCGTTCTGAGGAGGGCCAAAAAATCGACCTTTTCCTAGAAGGTTAGTCCATGGTTTTTGCCCAAAATTCAAACTTTTTCTCACTAGTGTTTTTGAAGTAATTATGTTCGAAAAGATCGTTTTTTGATATTCTGGATAAAAAAAAAATTCTAGACCAGACAACTAAAGTTTTAAAAAGTCGAAAAAAAATGGACATTTTCTTAAGGGGATAATCCATGGCTTTTGTCCAAAACTCAAATTTCTTTTCATTTGGGTTTTTTAGAATGATCATATCAGAAAAGATTTTTTTTATATATTCTGGAGAAAAATAGAATAATTTTTGGACCAGAAAAATAAAGTTTTAAAAAGTGCAAAACAGTGAGATTTTCCAAAGGGGAGAATCCACAGTTTTTGTCCAAAAATCATACTTTTTCTTATTTATCTTTTTTGGATTAAACAAGTCAGTAAAGATCATTTTTTGATCTTTTGGATAGAAAAGAATGATTTTTAGACCAGAAAATTGAAGTCCTTTAAAGTGCCAAAAACAACATTTTTCTGAGGGGTTAGTCTATGGTTTTTGTCCAAAAATCGAAATGTTTATCATTTGGGTTTTTTTGGTCTAATTAAGTCAGAAAAAAACCCTTTTTTAATATTCTTGATAGAAAAGAATGATTTTAGACAAGAAAATTAATGTTTTAAAAGGTGCTAAAAAAAAGACATTTTCCCAAGGGGATAATCCATGGTTTCTGTCCAGCAATCGAATTCCTTTTCATTTGGGTTGTTTGGTATAATCAAGTGAGAAGAGATTGTTGTTTAATATTTTAAATAGAAAAGAATGATTTTTAGACCAGAAAGGTACCGTTCTGTGGAGCGCCAAAATCCAAGGTTTTTGTCCAAAAATCGAAATTTTTCTTAGTTGTTTTTTTTTTTGAGAAATTAAGTCAGAAAATATTGTTTTTTGGTGTTGTGGATAAAAAAAGAATGATTTTTTAGATCAGAAAAATGTAGTTTTAAAAAGTGCAAAACTTCGACATTTTGCAAAGAGGATAATCCATCGTTTTTGTCCAAACATCAAACTTTTTCTCATTTATTTTTTTGGGAGAAAACAAGTTTGTAAAGATCTTTTTTTTATATTTTGGATAGAAAGGAATGATTTTTAGACCAGAAAATTGAAGTTCTAAAAAGTGCCAAAACCGACATTTTTCTAAGGGGATCTCGACCTTTTTTATTTGGGTTGGTTTGGTATAATTGAGTCAGAGAAAAACGTTTTTGTTTTATATATTCTGGATAGAAAAGAATGATCTTTAGACGAAAAAATTAATGTTTTAAAAAGTGCCAAAAAATAGACATTTTCTTAAGGGGATAATCCACGGTTTTTGTCAAAAACTCGAACTTCTTTTTATTTGTGTTTTTTGTTACAATCAAGTTAAAAAAGACGGTTTATTGATATTTAGGATAGAAAAGAATGATTTTTAGACCGGAAAATTAACGTTTTAACAAATGCCAAGAAATACACATTTTCCTAAGGGGATAACCCATGGTTTTTTTGTTCAAAAATTTAACTTCAGTTTTATTTGGGTTTTTTGGTATAATCAATCTTTTGGATAGAAACCAATGATTTTTAGACCAGAAAGGTAAGGTTGTAAGGAGCGCCAAAAAATCGACCTTTTTCTAGAAGGTTAGTTCATGGTTTTTGCCCAAAAGTCAAACTTTTTCTCATTAGTGTTTTTGAAGAAGTTATGTTCGAGAAGATCGTTTCTTGATATTCTGGATTAAGAAAGAATAAACTTTAGACCAGAAAACTTAAGTTTTAAAAAGTCCAAAAAAATGGACATTTTTCTAAGGGAATAATCCATGGTTTCTTTAAAAAAATCGAAATTTTTCTTAGTTGTGTTTTTGGAGAAATCAAGTCAGAAAGTATTGTTTTTTTATATTCTTGATAAAAAAGAATGATTTTTAGACCAGAAAAATAAAGGTTTTAAAAGTGCAAAACATCGACATTTTCCAAAGGGGATAATCCATGGTTTTTGTCTATACATCAAACTCTCTCTCATTTATTTTTTGGGAGAAAACAAGTTAGATCGTTTTTTGATATTTTGGATAAAAAAAGAATGATTTTGTAGACCAGAAAATTAAAGTTCTAAAACGTGCCAAACATGACATTTTTCTAAGGGGTTAGTCCATGGTTTTTGTCCAAAAATGGAGCTTTTTTCATTTGCGTTTTTTGGTGTAATTAAGTCAGAAAAAACCTTTTTTTATATTCTGGATAAAAAAGAATGATTTTTAGACCAGAAAATTAACGTTTTAAAAAGAGCCAAAAATAGACATTTCCTAAGGGGATAATCCATGGGTTTTTTGTAGAAACGTCAAACTTCTTTTCATTTGGGGTTTTGGTATAATCAAGTCGGAAAATATGGTTTTTTGATATTTTGGATAGAAAAGAATGATTTTTAGAGCGGAAAGGTTACGTTCTGAGGAGCGCCAAAAAATCGACCCTTTCCTAGAAGGTTAGTGCATGGTTTTTGCTTAAAATTCAAACTTTTTGTCATTAGTGTTTTTGAAGTAATTATGTTCGAAAAGATCGTTTCTTGGTATTCTGGATAAAAAGGAATAAATTTTAGACCGGAAAACTAAGTTTTAAAAGGTCGGCAAAAATGTTTTTTTCTAAGGAGATGATCCATTTTTTTGGCCAAAAATCGAAATTTGGCGGTAAAAAGAATAAGAAAAGTTGTTGACGATAGTTTAGAAAGCAAAAACAACCAAAACGAGTGGTTTGGGGGGTGGCTATATTGAATTTTATCAAAGGGGGTAACCCACTAATTTTAAGTCAAAAATTTTCTTTTTGTCGGGCTTTTTTGATAAAGAATGTTTCACGATATTTTAGATTTCTAAAGAGGCCGAAAAGTTCACTTGTAAACACTTTGATGGCGGGGGTAACCATGTTGAATTTTTTAAAGGGTTGAACCCACCCTGTTTGACGATCGACCATAGCTTAGGCTTCTAGAATGACCGAAAATAGCAATTGTAAAGAGTTTGATGTTGGGGGTGATCATATTGGATTTTTACAAAGGGGTTAACCCACGATTATAGGTCAAAAATTGAATAACCTTTTGTGGGGCTCTAAGTCGCATAAGAAAAGATGTTTGAAGATAGTTTAGACTGCTAAAATGACCTACTAAGAGCAATTGTAAAGAGTTTAATGTTGGGGGTGGACATATTGGTGGTGTTTACCCACGATTTTAAGTCAAAAATTGAATTTCTTTTTGTCGGGCTTTTTTGTGTAAGATGGATAAGAAAATATGTTTGACGATAGTTAAGACTGCTAAATTGACCGAACAGAGCAATTTTAAAGAGTTTGATGTTGAAGGTACTGTGGCAATATTAGATTTTTTCAAAGGGATTGACCCACGATTTGGGGTCAAAATTTAAGGTAACTGTTTTGGACGGTCAGCTTCGATTACCTTGCTTCAATAAGTACGCTTTTTTAAATTTTTTTTGCATAACTCGCATTCCATGGGTCATGAGTATAGGCCATCGTGCTATAGGTATAATGTAAATATAGGGGTTAACCATCAAACGACAAAAAGGTAATTTTTTTACCGTAACCGTCAAAAGTTTTAAGGTATTCAAATCTCCCTATTTCAGCGGATCTTCGCGGGATTCTGGCTCCTGCAGAATCTCTAAACTGGAAAAATCAGTTCCAATGTTCTCAAAAACGCTCTTTCTAGACATAACGAGACTTTACAGCCTGCTTATATCTGAAAATACTTCGAACTTTTATCAGTGAAAGGCCAAGAAAACGTCCAAAACACAACAGTTAATATCAATCCATACAGAAGTTAATATTTATACTTTAACCTTTGGGCTAAATTTCCACCTTAATAACCGTCAATTGAAAGCTACCACCCCATGTCCAAGTGTCCAAATCACTATGCAAAATGGTCTTTAGATGACCAAGGAAAAACTGCTTGGCTTTTTAAAATTAACTAATGACACAACAGTGACCTGTACACGTGACCGGTGGAATGTGACCTATAAAGAAACCTTCGATACTGACCGGAGCCTTTCGCCACGCCATCTCATTTCAGCTAATGCTTAGCGATTCATTTTGGAGTTCGAACCTAGAATAAAATTTTGAGTGATGAGCCCAGTGAAAACTAAACTTTTTTCATAGTTTGTGTGTGGGTGTTTTTGGTTTGTTTATTTACGAAAATTAAACCTTTTGCGTTACCAGAAAAGTAGGAAGTTTATGATCATGATTAGTACAATAATGAGACTTTTTCTGGAAAATGAGTAATCAGATTTCCATGTTCCCACCTTAGTCACATGATATCACATGAGATTATTTTTTATGTGATACAAAAAATTTAGTATTTAGAATGTTACTCAGACATTCACTCTGAACGCCTTACTCCCATTATTAACATTTTGTGTATCTGCTGAGATGTCAAACTCAAGGATTAGATGAAAAAATTGTCGCAGAAAACCTCATCCTTAACAATCCTATGAAGTCAAGAGGAGGAACAGGAACATTGCTTTTCATACACGTCAACCAGCTATCAGTTTCGCCTAATTCGCTTCTGTTGTTTTCTTCCCCCAAAATAAGATCCATTTGAAACGCCCCTTATGGTCAGAATCTTTACGTCATCTTGACAGCTCCTTAAACTATAAATCATCGTAAACCTGTGTCGTTTAAGTTATTCATCCAAAGGCAAATGGCAAGCATACAGAAACATCTCGAGAGACAAGAGACCAGTCATGTTAAGGATTTTGCCCTTCATTTTCGTTCTAACCACACTTCAAGGTAAACTTTTTTGTCAATTTTGAACCGTTTTCTACAAGTACATAAAAATTTTGAGGATAAAGGCATCAAACTTGTGACCAGGTTCCCTTAATATGGCCATACGGCTAAACCTTGCTGACGGAGTAGTTTTCGATGAGACGAAGGGTACGAATTGAAATGGGCCCAGAAATATAGAGTTTTCTGGTATAAAAGAGCCTTGATCTTTGTATCACCATTTACCACTATCATCTTGCCATTTCCGGGTTAGTTTCTGAGAAATCAGATCGAGTAAACTATCCTAAGTCCACGGCTATGCCCTCTCATTTCTTAGGTCAAATTAGTTTTGTCCTTTGCTGATCAGCCAGTTACTACGCACCTGGACTAACTTTTTGAGAAATGGAGTTAGGTGAAAACAAATTATGTTTCGCGGTAAAATCAGTCTCGAATACGCTGTAAGCTGAAGGTGTATAAGGGGAAATGGAAAATTAAGTCTCGCGTTTAAATGGTCTTATATCTTAAAAACCGTCTTTTGCTTTGTTTTGTTTTTCTTCTTCTTCTTCTTCTCCTCCACTTTCTTTTTTTTTTTTTTCGCACTTTTCCATCACTCGAAAAGCGAATCCATTTCATTTAATACTCAGAACAACTTTAAGAATGATGCAATATAATAGGACGTTTTCCACGAAATTGACCCATAAGTGACATCACATGATGATCTTGTGTTGAATTCCTACACGTTTACTCTGAAAGTTTCCTTGCTCTTTAACATTTGTCTAATTTGTCTAACTGTGAAGATGATTAAATTGAACTCTTGATTTGCAGAAGAAACCTGAAGACTAAGAAAGGGAACTCTTTGAAATTATAAGTGTTCGTTTGTTGTCTAGCTGTAAGATACACACCTTAATTGGTGTCTTAATAGTAATAATAATAATAATAATAATAATAATAATAATAATAACAATAACAATAACAATAACAATAATAATAATAATAATAATAATAATAATAATAATGGTAACGCGATAATAGAGTGATTTACTTGAACAGTGAAGCAGATAATAACAACAAGTGTAAAATATCTACACTTGCATGCGCGGATCACCTAGAAAACCGTATTTCTCGAACAATAGCAGTCACTCGATTAATCGCCCCCCTTTGATGGAAATATTTCAAATAATCGCCTCCCTCGAATAATCGCATTCGAACATTGAGTAAAATGCTCGAGAGTACCGTATCTACCAAACACCGATGAAAGGATTTATTATTCCGCTTCATAGAATCACGTCAAACTTTGATTCGCCCGTTTCCCCCTTTGCTGCTTCGAAAAAATAATAAACAAACAAACAACACCAACAACAAAAACAAACTAAAAAAATTACCTTTATGCAAAATGACGCAGGAGTTCAATGATATCCGAGTGCACCATTCGCTTCCGCTTTCGCTTTTATTACCCCGTTTTGTTGTTGTTTTTTTCTTTGTTGGGCATTTACCAGGTTTCATTTCGGTTGGAAAAATTTGGGGGAAAACTTTTATGATTTTAGGATTAGATGGAATAAAGTACAAGAGGGTAGTGGAACAAGATTTTCATTAGAATTTTCGCGTCAACTATATGTGTCTCTTTTTTTTTTTTCTTTTTGTCCGACCTGTTTGACTGAATCGTGATCATTCGCACTTAATATGAGAGATGTCAAAAGTTGTCTGTGACAGTTAAAACCGATAACGTCACAAGCGGTACAAGGGGTCGTGGGACTGCACGGGCGGTTCAGGGGTGAATGGATTTCCAGATTGACAATAAGTTTCCATGATCTATGTCCTTATTCACGAAAGAAATGGCGTCGAAATGTTGAAAACTCAAGTGGGACCACTAGCCGCAGGCGAGTGGTTTCACCGCAAAGTGTGGAACATTTTGATGTCATTTCAACGGTCTATAAGACCAGGCTGATTGTGGGAAGTCTAGACACCAAAGATCACAGATAAGAGAAATAAAACATGCTGAACCCTTGAACCGTTCTTATATTTAATACTTAACAGTCTGCCATGCTTAAACAAATTAAGAGGAGACTTGTAAACACCACATCTTTTTTGTGCTTTGGCCACATTTTTAGTTCAGCACAAAATTCTCTCGGAAAAAAAAGTAAGAAACCTCAACTTTCTGCGATTACGCCATTGTTATTAACCTTTTTTTAATTTATCCCTGGGAGTTCTGGTTAATGTGAAAAAAATTAAAGTAATATCTGTGAGATTTCTGAGGTTCATGTCCAAGCTAAACTATTTCTGCATTAAGAGATGTTAACCTCTTGGATCGATATCCAACCAGATTTTAAGGTCACATTCCTCTGTAGAAGCGGCACTGAGAGTTTTGTAAAACTTTCCTTATGTGAAATTGAATACATGTGGACTGCAGAAATGAACTAAAAATATGGGGGTCCCCATGCTAACTACTCCCTCCCCGGCCCCCCTCTTAGAGCGTATTTGTTGTCAATTTATGATCGATTTTTAGACTACAATTTCTTAACTTGTTAAGGCAAAATAAAATTCAGAGAAGTAAGGAACACGAAAAGCCAATGTAGTAAGCACTCTTAGCCAATGTATGGAACTTTTTTTGCACGCGACGAAAAAAATTGTTATAGTCATGACTTTTGTTGCCATGGTTACCAAACCCCCAAAAATCAGTTTTTTGACTGACATTTTCCTTATTTTTAAACATATTTCCAACATTAAGAACTTGCCCAATTTTCTTTTTTTTTTCTTTTTCTACATTTAGTTCGGTGCCTAAAGTATTTACTAGAATAATAATAAAAAGATAATGTGGGGTCACCATGCTCGGTTTTGATAGTTTGGTACTCGTGCGCCTCTCACAAATTATATTAAATTTTGCCACAGGAACTATTAACTAGTTTACCACTATAAAATTACAATCACTCAAGAAAACACTCTGCGAGAATTTCTTCATCCATCTTTGGATAAATAAGTTGGTTGTTTTAATTATAAAAGTAGGTTGAGTTTGATCGTCCGGGTGAACGTAGTCCTGAATAGGACTGTTGTTGTTGGCATTGATTGTGTTAGAAGAAATGAGGAAGTCATAAAAATCTGTTGTTGTTGACAGTGAATTATGTTGGAAGAAATGAGAGGTCATAAAAATCGTTTGAAAAGTCATCTTATTGCTTGTTTTCAGTGTCATGCCATTCAAAATAGATCAAAATAAAAATCAAAACCGTTCAATAGATAAGGTCCAGAATCTGGGAAATGAAAGGAGGTAAATATGCAAAGACCCTCGCCAAGATTCAGGTCAGAGAAATATTTCGTATACAAGATATCCGAAGAAATGTTTTACCAAAATTTATAGAGATTTGTATGGAGACGCCATGCTGGTGCTCATTTGGATGGGCACCAACATGGCGGACGGAAACCAACAGAAACATCTGTTACCGAGTTGCGCTACAAAAGCGTGAATTTATTCTTCGAGGAACTCATAAGCAGTAAACTTAAACTTTTTCTAATACATGTTGAGAAAGCAAAATTCCCTGAAATAGGTAATTTTTTTAATCTAAATGACAACTCTCTTGGCCGTCATGTAAATGCTGCGTCACGCAAAAGCTTAGAAATTCAAGCGTGAGCCTATCACAAAACTAAGAACCCTTTGAAGCGAGAATTTGAATGAAAATTAGTTTTCAGCTGCTCTAATACATCGTGAAGTAAAATCTCGGTAGGATCGATAGTTTTGTAGTTTGAATTTTAGTGACGTAAAGTGAAAACCAATAATTTACTAGTGACCTTGTCTTGTTATAGTAAGTTTACATGGTTTTTCGTCATTCTTGGCAAAAACCTTTCCTTTCTGTTACTATTTCACGTAAGAGTCTATTCAGGCAAATCAAGAAGGTCCAGTTATCGTGCTTTGAGGTCATTTGAGCCCCATAACTATAACAAAATTATCAAATCTGATTGGCTATCAACTGTCCTAATTTCAGCTCAAAAACGACATTGTAATAGGACAGTACGCGTCATGCCTAAGTAATTGGATTCATCGCAGGGGCACTTAAATGGCTTTTTTCTCTGCTAGCCAAAAAACTCGCGGAATTCCTGGGGTTTTAAGTTTTAAAAAAGCCCAAAATATTACAGATTTTGTTATAGTTATGATTAATTGGTAACAGAACTTCGTGTCGTCCAATTCGGCCTGTAATCATACCTGTGATTAAACAAATCGGACGACCTCGTAGCGGCTCACCTACACTTAAATATTGGTAGAGTACTCTCCACCCCTCCTCCCCCCGCCCCACGGGGCCTAAAATATGACCTTTTTAACTGATGTACCAGCAGATCGATATTATGCGGGTGATGAGAACGGTTGACTTGAGAGTGATGATGATAACGATGATGATCTATTTTGTTTTAGTTTCAGTCCAGTCACGAGAGAGGAGGAAGTCTCTTCATCCACGCGAGGTGAGAACATATTGGACCGCGGTTTTGAGCCAGAATTTCTTCTTTTCAATAACATGCACTTTTCGATTCAGTCAAACACATTTTTTAGGAAAAATACAAGTTTCCCGCACTTTTTAATTTTCACTTTTGTTATTTTTGTTATTTTTTTTGTAGAGAAGTATAAAACAGTATCAAAAGCAAAAAAATGTTTTTAAAATTATAACATATGCCAACCAATTAATTACAACTAACGTCCAGAAATCGTTCCGCGCGCTGAAAGCCTGAACAGATTCTCCCCTAGTTTATAGAGTGGCCAATATATTCTGAAGAATCAAGGGTTCTTCTCTCTCTAGGGATACCAAGAATTTTCCTACTTCATTTCTTCACTGCTTTAAAATGTTCTTCTCTATCTTCACATCCAAGTCTCATTTCACTTTAGTAATCACATGTTAAACATAACTTACTATATTTTCTCAACTTACGAAATTTAAAATAAATTGGCTCGTCCTTTACTTTGAACCTAAAATACTATTGCTCACTCAATGAATTTATGTATTTTCTGTTTATGCTTATAAAACGTTGCTCAATTCTGCAGATTACAGTCACACTAAAGATAACCAGGGATAGAAAGCCCATTGCACCTTCCTATACTACGAAAGTACCACGTGGTACCCTGTTGGTCGACATTCTCAACAAGGCAGCTGGAGACGACACAAAAGGTCCTTTCAACAAATACGAAAGCATTTACTACGGTGGCACGTACAAAGGAGTTCTATTGGGATATTATTTAACTGCGATGGACGGAATCAAACAGGATCCAGCTACTAGGAGCTATTGGATGATTATTGACGAAAAAAGTGGAGATTATACTCCATGTGGTGTAAGTTCCTACGTGCCTGGAGACTGTTCTACGACTATCTTTGACTTCAGTCCACTCAAACTTGACAAACGTTGCCCTCCATACGGAGGCAGTGGATATTGCAAGAAAGTTCTTCCCTCTGGCCGGGTATGTTACACTCCCGACCCCCAACCCATGCCAGACCCCCACCCCCAAATTATTTACTTTATCAAAACCATGGAAATCAATCTCGACATTTGAAACAGCAACAACAGCGAAAATAGTAGAGAATAAAAGGCGTAAATACGCGAAGAGACTGACTCTGGCCTAAGAAAGTCGTTTCAGAAGAGACCTTGCTAGAAGAAGAAATGTGTCGTCTTCCTTTTCCTCATCCCATGCTCGACGCGCGGCCAATTAGGAGTCAATTATTACGCATGCGCTATCGGTTCCATCCGGTAGTACTTCCCATATATGAATTTGGGATGGGCGAGGCGAGATCTCGGTCAACCGAGCCAGCCTTATAAAGGGGAAAGGGGGATGGGGTGGGGGGGTGGTACTACCCCATAAAAAAGTCGAGAATACTCGTTGTACCTCTACATGTTCTCATGCTGGAAGGAAAATCCCGACCCGATAAAGCAACTGGGATGTGCGGGACGAGATTACGGTCAACCGGAACAGCCCCAGGAAGGGGGAGGGGGAGAGGGGGGTGTTGGTAATCCCCTATAAAATAGTCGGGAATACTCGTTGTACCTTTAATCCTTTAATCCCTAAGGGAGTCCAACCTATAGTTTCTCCTCACAGTAGCTCTGCTTAATCAAACATGTAGATCATGAGAAAAAAGAAAATAATCAACAAGTGACAAAGGTCTTGATTGCTTAACAAATTCTCATCATCAGTACCATGGGAAATGTATGGAAGACAGTGTGGAGAATATGCCTGCTGATATTGGGGTTTGAAGACTTAAGGGTTAAAGTTTGAGGGTTGATATCGCTGAGGGTGTTTAAATATAAAGTAACTGCCATTAGAAGTACCTTTTAGAAGCTATTTAGGGTGTCAACTCGAAAAATAATTTGAGCTACGGTCGAACCAGCCTCGCGCGACCACCTCCCGAAAGCGAGGTTGGGAACTTTCATCGGGATGGCCAAAAGATGGCTGCGGCTGAGGTTTAACTTACAATTCTTTTCTACAATTATTTGAGGACTTTGAATACTGGCCGCTTGATAGAGGGTGGCCGCTCCACTATATTAACCGCAAAAGAGAAGCAACAAAACTATATAGCTAGTACCAACTCGAGTATGTAGTGCGCCTGAGACAGCCTATTATTCTGCAGCTTTTCAAGCAGTCTGCATTAGCCGCGTTTCGAGTTCGATTCATTACAGTTTGCAACATCCATGCACGAGCCATGCAGCTGAGGAGTTTGGGGTACGGTGATGTCGAGATTTTCATTTTATTCTCCAGTTTGACTAGGTTGTGACATTGTCTTTTTTTAGAATCCTCAAATGTATACCCAGCTGAAGAGTTTTGAAAAAACTGGAAAGTTCATTTTTCAAGGATTGGATTCGTACAACTCTCAAGACTGCTACTTCATGGCTTTCCGACTTGCTGCTGATACAAGCCTTAGAACAGTGGAACCAACTAATCAAGCCATAACCATGAACTCAGGTCAAAAGAGCGTCAGGATAGGGCTGGGTACCCTGTGCGTTTTGGCCGCAATAGAAAGTTTACTGTTTTCGTTTATGTAAAACTTTAAAAGGCTATGGCAGTACCTTTTTGCAATATTTTTACTTTTTTGTTTATTATACTAAATAGTTCTTAGTTTTGCTTAAAACCGCTGTTGCTGTGTTTGTTTGAAAGCTACAATCCTGGACAAAAGTCCTTGGGACAGTACCGCAATATTCATATTTTTCTGTCATTTCTCTGTTCCCTCCTAAAACAGTGCATCCTTTTCGAAATTTTCTTGCAGGTATCCCTCCCCGCCCTCCCCCCGCCCCCACCCTATACAAAGTCGAAACTCGGAAAAAATTAAGGATACACGCGCCCAACATTGTTTTTGGGGTGAGGGGAGGGGTTGGACCTGTGTGCATTGGAAACGCCCCAGAAACGCAAAAGTGTCCCAAGACTTTTTGTCCAACTGAGACTGTAAACGAGAAGGAGGGGTACTTTATCAAGAATTAAGAAATGAGGCTAGCCTTTGGTCCAGCTAGCAGTATGGAACCCATCAGCTTCTGCGCATGATTGATCTACTGGTGGGTGTTGCAGTAGTCGCTCACTGCATTGAGAACTGCTTCAGGACACTTACTGTCTTGGTGACGTGGCGGACACAAGTTATCAAATTTAAGAAGTTTTATCATTCTGCGATCGGGAAAGGGTTTAAGATAGAATCCATCAGGAAATTGGGTAATTTTTATTTTCAGTGGACAAAAACCTTGTACCAGAATAATTCAAGCCACATCACATTCTTTTTTACACTTTTCAAGGGCTATGAATATAATTAGTTATTTGTAATAACACCAAAGACATAATTTCTTATGGGAGCTCGTGAAAATTGATTTTAATTTTCACAGGACTTGTGAAAACACAGGTAAAATTCGTGGGTAAGATTTCATTCTGCGAAATTTGACACTTTTTTAAAATTTGTTTTCTCAGACTCCTATGAGAAGTTTTCTTTGTTGTTATAAAATATATAACGAATTACATCTTTAGTCCTTGAAATGGGCAAAAAAGAATGCAATATGCTTTAAATTATTCTGGTACAAGGATTTTGTCCACTGAAAATAAAATTACTCAATTTCCTAATGGATTCCGTCTTCAACTCCTTCAATAAAAATACCCGTGGTAAAGTTTATGGTGGAAAAAAAGACAAGGACAATGAAACTTTCCGGGTTGTATAGTTTTGGAGAATACGGGAAACACTTTAAATTAAATCTCGTCCGGGTCCTCGCTCCTCGTCCTGCAATCTGAAGTTCTGTAGCCTATTAGTATTTCAGCTGCACCCTACGACAACTGTTGGATAACGATTAGAAAATCATGCGCATTAAAATCGGCTAGAAGCAGCCACAAAAACAACACAAAATGGGAGCGAAAATAGCCCGTGTGAAAGGGTTGAGATTGATTGATCTCTTTCTTACAAAGTACATCCAGTTCTCAACCGTTTTTTTTTTCTTTTTTTTAAAATTTTTTTCAATTCATCAAAACTGGAGAAGAAAACTTTCAAATATATTAGGAAAAGCTTGGCAAAACACGGTTAAGTGGAGTTGTTTCGTTGTGGTTTCTTCCAAGAACCGTTTAAGCATATATTAAGGCAAATACATGTACATTCATCAAGTCTTTTCGAGCCTATTCAAGTGTGCTCAACTGTTTTTACGTGCCATTTTCTTTTCTAGGTTACCACGTTAAGTGAAGTATTTTCTTTTCGAGTGTCGGTCACTGTGGTCTGGACGATTTTCATCGGCTTTTCTGATTTCCAATTTGTCATGAAAGCGAGTTTTTCTGTCTACATTCTTTTGCACAAAGTTGAAGCGAACATTCAAGTTCTCTTGTCTCTTGGACCACAGATCAATTAGCCTGGAAATACTAGCCAGCGTGGCAGGCGCAAAAAGGGGAGGGACAGGGGGAAGGAGAAAAGCACGAAAGAGGGGAAAGGGAAGGGAGCCCCTTCCCCTCTCTCCCCTACCCCCCTCCCTTTCCCCTTTTTCCCTATCCCCTACCCCTTTCGACGCCTGCTACGCAGGCTAGGGAATACAGCCGTCTCACATCGCCTTTCGCCGCCAGGGACGTTTCGCCATGGGGGTCGTCTACGCCTCAGCGACAGAAATTCCATACTGATGACGTAAATCAATGTTTGTGTGGTAATAAATCCGATAATCATAGGGGTCCAGATGTAAATTTGGTCGATTTTATGTTTCCCCTGGTCGATTATGACAAAGTTCTGTGTTCTTCTGCGAACGAGCTACAGCAAAACTCAAATGCTTCTTTCAAAGAAGAATATATTCTACGAAAATTGACTTTTTTGTAGTAGATTCATCGTGTTTACATTTGACCTATTGTTTAATGCACCTTCTTTAACCCCCCCCCCAAAAAAAAAAAAATGCATAATCATTGTTTTCGATTTCTTTTGGGACGACTGGAATACCCAGGAGAAATTGGAAACAATGGTTATGCAAAATTCTGAGAGGTAAACAAGGTGCGTTATGGTCTATGTGAAAGTAGTGAATAGATCAATTTGACCTGACCAAACTGGTGCGCAAGTCACGTGTGCGGATGTGGCAGGAATGCATAGGTTTATTAGTCAGATCGACTCTATGCTTTGGATTTCATTCACGACCCGCTGACTGCTAGAATCAAGGCAAAAGGAGCAAAATCACTCATTCTTAATTACATGAGTACAAAATATATATATTCATCTATGTTGTTTAAATATAAACATTTTTGTAGATTATGAACTGACTTCAATAGGTCTTTGTACGGTAAGCTAGCATTTCACTTTCAGTTTGAGCATTTTAGCGAGGAAAATGCATAAAGCATTATTAAAACTTTAGTGTTATTTTTTTCCGGAAAATTAGTTTTTTTCCCACAAAAAAATAAAAATTGTGAGAGAAATGATGACTTAAACTTCGAATTCAAAAATATATTCAAATTTTACATTAATATAGCCGTGTAGATTATAGGCATTTTTTGCTTTATTGATCAGCTATTTACTTGTATACATTGTTGTCATACCACTTATACATTACTTGTTGACCGTAAACCCCATTAAAACGTTCAGAATCAATAAAAAAAAAAGCTTATCTATGATGAGCATTATCGAGTATTTTAGTGACTTTTTAGGGGGCGACCAAGCATTTTACAGGGACAAATGGAGCATAAATGTGGAACAGTTAGCGGGGAAAACAAAAGCATAATGTACAAAGGCCTAGACTTCAAAACGTTTCCCTCTACGACTATTCTAATTATAGAATACGGTCCACTGAATGCGCCCTTTTGGTCAAATTACATCTACAAAAACGTAATTGACAGCTGCCAGACTGTAAAACAAACTTGAATTATCTAGAGTTATTTCCTGCCGAGGCAAGTAAAGGCAACTGGCAAGAACTGTCACCTGCGGAATTAAGAGAATCAAATGAAGGGACCAACCATGAGGAGTTTGTTTTGCCTCTACATCTTTTTCACTGCTATTGAAGGTAACGTTTTTTGAACGTTTAGTTGATTGTGCATCGTGCTCCATTGTAATAACAGAAAAATTTGCGCATCAAAGAAAAGAGAGCTCTTAGAGAAACGAACCTAAAAGCTTTTCATCTGGCACCTCCATATAAAATGCGTTGCTTCAGTTAGCTATTTTGATTCTTCCAACCAACCCGTTTAATCATCAACTACTATGTTTGATTCGACGCCTTTCTAGTAAGCTGCGCCATAATTTTGTTGTCAAATATATGTGTCTTTTGCTGCTGTAACGTGCTGCGTTAACGGTCTACTGCATTGGAAACTGTTAGTGAATTTCCATTTTAATGTAGTGACTAAAACTTGACGAAAGTTTGGATACATTGTCAACGGAAAACACCCTACTGAACATTGTTAACTTTTCTTCCACTATTTTTTTTTTTTTTCATTTTTAATGTTTTAGTTTCTAGCCAACTCTCTCATTATTCTGCATGATTGAACGGCTGGAATGAATAGTCTGGACCAGAAAAAAAGCGCGGCGTGATTTGAGAGCAAATTTTAGGTTGAAATTCACTTAGGCTTAGACCTAGTGAAAGATGTTGTTTGCGATTAAGAATCGAAAAAGCTAGGAGGAAGACGCCAGAGACCAGAAACGTGAGATGTGCAGTCTTTTGTTAGGTCCTTTAGGGTATAATTATATGATTCAATCACACTCAAACAAAAAGGGTTTGCTTTTGTTAATGTTTCGATTGTTTTATTTTTAGCAAAAGTCTGGAAGGTTCTGCAAAATAATTTCAAGCTAGGTTTTAGTTTCGCCTAGTAATCGAGCTTGGTTTACTAGACGGTTTGTATATGATCGTATATGCATGGTATAGACAGCATGAGCCGTCTTAAGTGGGCTGAGGAGGTGGGGGGAGGGGGGAGTAAGAAGAGCGTTACGTAAGATGGATTTATACCGATTACGTACAAACTTACAAGGTATTTTTCTGTTTACAGGCCTTTCGCCTGATAAAAAGATGTATTACATTACATACACGGATTGTACGCCCCTTGTTTCTGTAGGTGTTCTTGTGCGCGCATTACGTAACAAGCGTCCGTCTCGGTGCTCATTCCGTTTGACCGCCTTTGAAACATTAAGGGCCTGGGAACTAGCAGGAGCCTATAATCTGGGGCCAGCAACATCCATACTAAGCCTATGAGCTGGCGTTTAACAGACCGATTTATTTTTAGATCACTCTAATTTCCCCTTTCAGTACATTTCAAGTTAATCTTCGGTCCTCAGTAATACCTCATGTGCTACTAGCGCTCATAAGCGACCACCTATCCAAAACACCAAACCTTTTCCGGCCAGTCCAAGCCCTGTAGTTGAACCTCTTAAAAACGACCATCTCTCACGAGCAATCGCGACCAATTTTAGGATGACGTCACAGAAACTAAATTTGCGAAAGTTATGGGATGCACTGAGATAGTCAGGAAGAACAAGATGAAAAAGGCCCCCTTTCCTGAAACCAGCGAGTTAATACAAAATGACTGTGAGCAAGAGCTCACAACCCGGAGCGAGTAACTTCTATCTGTTCTATGTTCTTTTGTCACGGCGTTTTTACAAACCCGTTTATTTTGATTTTGTCGCAAATTTAGAATATCTCGTAAGTCCAAACCAGTCAGCAAAATCTACAAAGCTGAAAATGGTATTTTCTTTATCTTTTAATGACATTTAGTTCTCTATATTCATATCTTATACTTCGAAAGCGCTCAAAGGAGGATCGGAGCTTCTATTTTTACAGGAAAAACTGCTCTAAAAATAAACTGGTCCTTGAAAACGCTGTGACATAGCCCTAGTATCGGAGTTGCTCTCTCAGAATTATGGGCTCGTACGGTGAGATATTAGCACCATTATGCTCTGATGACCCTCACCAAATCCTTGTAAATTTTAGAATGTTTTGTGTAGCGTCAGTGGGGCATAACGGGTACCAATTTCTCGCCCAAATTTGCACCAACACGCAGGTTTTTTGACGAAGAGGCTTTCGTGGTGTCACACCCGGATTTACTCTATAACTATTGTACCTTTTAATGATTGTGATGGTGATGAGAAGATGATGAGGAAGATGATGATGACGTTGATGATGATGATGATGACGACGACGACGACGACGACGACGACGACGACGACGACGATGATGATGATGATGATGATGATGATGATGATGATGAAGTCTGGTGGTGTAGCAGTGGTTGGGGTTGTTATAATTATGATATTGACGCATTGTTTTTACTTTCAGCTTTGTCAAGGAAACGAAGGCACGCGGATCATTCCGAGGTATGAATTGACAGCTTTTATTTCTTTTTTTCGCTTCGTAGCAGGGACGGATGGCATGAAAAAAAAAAGGCCTATCATAACGTTTAGAATACGGTCGAAAATTCTCTTGAGATCTTGATCTAGGAATTCTTCGGCAGAAAATTTACAAGGTAGTTTTAGCAACTTGAAAAATCTGTCAAATCTCATCCAACATCGATTTGGTTTGTTCTCCCATCAAGATTCACTACTCGTCTTTGAATGTTACATTGTAGTGGAAAGAGTAGTTTGATTTTCCGGCAGTTCAGTAAATTTCCATAGCAGCGTGCCTGTAATTTTCTAAACTGGTATTTATGAATGTGTATAATACAATATAAAGTAGGACACTCATTCCTGACTACACTAAACCGTATATTTTTTTGTGTAGCGCCCTTGTTTTGACTCATCGCTTTCAGAACGACAGGCCAGGTCGAGTTTAAAAATGTGGTTATTTCTGGTCCCGGTTGTTCAAATGCTGGATAGCACTATCTTCTAGAGAAGGGAGATGACAAATTCGGAGCCCTACTCCATGAAGTACCCCTAAAAATCATGTATTGGTCAAATAAAATACTTCATCAACATGGTGAACCATTTAGATGTACATACCTTAGCTTTATATATTTTGAGCTTGTCAGCTCTCCGATTGTCACAGTTCGATGCAGTCCACGAATTGACTGCCATCTTGAAATTTGACATTAAACCGCTGACCACCTGAAATGCCCAGCATCCTTGAGCGTTTTCTTTTTCAAGAGGCCAAAAGGGCGAAATTTTTCATTGTAGTTTAAGGGACTTTGTTAAGTTTACAGCTTTACCTAGCTATTTCCACGTGTGTATTAGTGATGCGGCATTCCTCATCTGTTGGCATGATTAGACAACAAAAAAAATTCAGGCAAAAAGTTTTAGACTTTGACCTTATAATCGATTACACCAGGAAGTGGCAAAATATAAATACGTTTCAAAAGTACCCACCCGAGCTTGATAAGCTTAAATTGTCCATGGTGTTTGACATCCTGGCCGATCCTGGCCAAGCAGCCCATGCTGGGTAGGCCTTCGTTTGAAGTGGTCAGCAGTTTAATGCTAAATTTCAAGATGGCAGTCAGTTCCAAAACTGCATCAAACTGTAACATTAACCAGAGGGCTGGCAAGCTCAAAATAAATAAAGCTATGTACATCTAAACAATTCACCATTTTGATAACGTATTTTATTTTACCAATACATGATTTTTAGGGGTACTCCATTTTAGGTACTCCATAGGGTACTCCATGGAGTAGGGCTCCGCGTTTTGTCATCTCCCTCTAGAGAAGTGTTAGGGAAACTAATTGTGTTATTCACTTGATAAAGATTTATCCAGCGGATACTGTTATTCACCTCTTGAACAACTGAGGCCTGCATCGAGACTAAAGTTTAGTTTATCTGTTTTCCATAAAACTGTTTCCGAACAGATCACAGTCACGCTGAAGATGGACTGGGATGTAGGACAGGGAGAAGGAAAAGAAATTCCTGCGAGTGTCATTATGAAGGTTCACAACGGTACCACTTTGATGGAAATAGTGAACAAGGCGGCTGAAGACAACAGAACGGGACCTTACAACAAATACGACAGCGTTTACCATGGTGGAAGGGGTTATGTTATCACCGGTATGTACGGAATCAAGGATGACCCAGCGACTAATAAGCATTGGATGATTCTTGAAGAGCAAAGTGGGAAACCGATTCCTTGTGGCGTGGATTTTTACGTTCCTGAAAATGGTTCCAGCATCATTTTTAACTTCACTACACACTTTGATCAAACTCCCACTACGAGTGGTTATTGCAAACCCGCCTCAAGCTCTAATCAGGTAAAGTAGCAGCGAGGTGAGATCATTATCGCCAGAGGTCGTTATGCCCGCGTCTAGTATAGCTGATTGGTAGCTACGCTTTTGAAACAAGAAGGAAATAATCGAGTCCAAATTTATGCTTCAACCCTTTCACTGCCAGAGTGTTTGATGGAGTTTTGTAAGGTGACTCTAACTTTTGAGTCTGTGGACGAAATCCTATGATGTGACCATTCAAAGCTCTCTGCCTGTAATTTCACATGATGCTATTTGTTTCTCACAATTTTGGAAAATGAAATTTGGTCGAAACTTGCCTTTGGCCACATTTGGCAGTGAAAGGGTTAACAGTTCTGAGTTTAATTACTTAGAGGCAAGACACTATTCAGGGGCAGACGGAGGATTTTGTGATAGAGGGGGCCTAGAGATATAGTATACAGTGGCAATAGAGAGCTTTAGATTCTAAGACGAGCACGACTACGAGTACGAGGTTTTCTCAATACACAGTATTACTCACGCGTAAACCAGCGTCATTTTGGAGGGAAAATGTGGTAGCCGTCGTCACCCTACTACGAGTTTTAGCGAGGATGTCGAATTGGCGGAAACAAGTTATCAAGCGTGAGAAGTTTTATCATTTTGCGATGGGGAGATGATGTAAACTCCTTCTCTAAAGGTAACAGTGCTAACTTTTCTAGTGAAAAATGGTAAAATGAAGCTTTCCGGGGAGTCTATATTTTGAGAATACGTGAAAAAACTTTAAGTCAAATCTCGTACTCGTAGTCGTCCTCGTCCTTGAATGCCTTGAATCTAAAGGTCTCTAATATGTGCGCGAAAGCGCTCATGACGACTGCGAGCGGCACACTTTTCTATTGAGTTTCGGGCGCATGCTCCTCCGGGAAAATTTTCGAGATCGAAGTTCTCTGAGGAACAATCTAGTACATTCTGGACCTGACTCGTCCCCAGTCGTCTCTCATTATTAGTATTTGGCGTGGAAGACTAGAACGGGCTCTTTAACAAAGGGATGATTAAATGAGTAGAGACGACTGGGGACGAGTCAGATTCTAAACGCTTAAATTTAGCAAATGTCTGGATTCCATATTGAACATGTAATGCTGAAATATTTAATAAACCGCAAAAGAGGGGGCCGGGGTCCCCTGGGTCCACTCCTAAAATTCGCCCTTGCCATTGCTTGTTTTGTTTGCATATGGCATAGCATTTTTTTCCTGCGGTACAGTATAATATGCTGTACTATGTCCTTTAGCCGAAGAACAACAACAACAGCAGCAAGCTTTATTTTCATGATCGTAAGAACTTTCAGTATTGCAAATGTTCCATGTAAAGATAACGGATAAAGGAAATAGCTAGAAAAAAAGTTGGTGAACTAAGTACAAATAGTAAACTACCGTAAAATTCCAAAAATAAGTCCCGGGGCTTATATTTTTCAAAGGCCCTGTTTGAGGGGCTTATTTTTGGAGGGGTTTATGATCGGCGGGGCTTAAATAGGGAAGGAAACTTGCGTTTCAAAATCGGCTAGGCTTATACTTGGAGGGAAATATGCGTCTCAAAATTAAAATCGATTGGGCTAGCTTATATTTGGAAGGAAATTTATCTCAGTCAGTAATCTGCAGCAAGTTCTTACTGAAACTCGCCTTCAAAACGTAGATCTTTCTAAAAGCTATGCAAGTACTTTGTCTATATGGCCCAAGGAGATCCAAGCCAAGACCGGGGAGTGAACTACGCAAACAACAATATACTGTCACACTTTTTGACTGCAATCATTTGGCACACCTAATGTTTCTTTAGCACATTCAAAATTTTTATGTGTTACTGTACAGTTTTTGCTTTGTTTTATTTTGAATATGAGGGCAATTTCCGAGTACACGCCCCCGGGGGCTTTTATTTGGAAGGGGCTATTTATCGGAGGGTTTTTTTGCGTTACGAGTTTGGGGGGCTTATATTTGGAGGGGCTTATTCATGGATGGGCTTATTTTCGGACTTTTACGGTATTGTCCTTCATAACAGTGACAATTAAAGAATTATTGGAAACAGACTAACAAATTATTTGAGTTCATCAAAGCTTTCATTAATTCCTGGGTAGATAACTGTCTAAGATTTATGTTTTCAGAAGTATTTTATGTTTAAAGTGAGTTTCGATTTGGACTTACATGTGTGCGATGTGCTCGTACCTTCCGACAATCCTTAGAAATGCGTAGGTGTTACCATACATGGAAGCTAATGAACAGTACTTTCTGAGGAGTCGTTTTCTTTGCTGTGCAACTCATATGTCACTTCTTTAGTCTCTGATCAGAGTCTGCAGACAGTGTGTGTTAGCAATTAAAATATAACCATAAGCAGCTTCTCCACTTAAGGAAAATTTGCATTCAACATCTAATAAATCCACTTCTCCTTTTCTAGATGCCAGCTTCGCCCATCACCGTAACCATTGCATTGGACTGGAACGTGACGCTAGTTGGTAAACCAATCCCACCTTCATTCACTACCCAAGTCACAGCTGGCACTGTTCTGTTGGATATCATAAACAAGGTTGCTGATGAATATCCAGAAGGCCCTTTTAATAGATATGTCTCTACTTACCATGGTGGTCTGGGGCATTCTGTTACTGCCTTTAACGGCACCGAACAGGTAAGATGTAATAGACGAAATCAGGAACCAATAACCCGGAGCGAGCAACAACCTTCTTTCCGTCCAACGGCGTTTTCACAGACCAGGTGATTGTCATATCGATTTTGCCGCGAATTTTGACTATCAAATATAATAAGCCTTTCAAATCCATCAGCAACGCCGTTTCATAAGCCAAGTATGGGAGTTGTAAGTTCAGGGTTATGGGCTCCTGACGAGAGTATAGTATACATTGTAGCATCGCGATCTTGGCATGAATTAGTTGCATCGAGGTTTGGTTGTATCAGATGAGTTGACGAAGACCATTTTCCACCATAAAAAGATTCAAAAACCGTGACTTTGCGAGCCATAGCCCTTCGAACCCTGGCCAGACTACCCACCCTCTCTTGCTTTTGGCCTTTTTGGCATTCTGTTTCTTGAGTGATCTTTACATAAGGTACCTAAATTGTATCACCTAAAATTCAAGTGCGTAATTGCCCAGCTACACGAAAAACGACTCACCGTCTGAAACTGAACTTTAGAGTATTTGGAAAGCGATTTAATGTAGGTTCGTGTTGTACCATTAAATTCTTAGTTTATATTTTTCGCTTGAGTGGGGTGTCAGTTTTTGGGTTTGGACGTTGAATACGGTTTCAATAATATTTTTGATCACCTTATCCTTAAAGGTTTAAGACCGTGGGCCGCACACACCTATCCAAAACTTATAAGAGTACCCCTCACCCCAGGCCGGACAACCAGGAAATACTTAAATTGGAACTCAACAGTTATGTTGGCCCTGTCACACCAGTGATTAAAGTGCTCTAAATCTGGCAGTACTTTATGGTAATGCTGTTTCGTAGGGTTGTGTGTGGTTGGGTGTGGTCGAGCAACGGTAGTGATGGGAACATGGCTAAAGGAGAGAAATAGTTAAACGAAAAGCGGTCATTGATTGCAGGAAACTCGAACACTTCAGTGAGAGAACATCGTTCGCCTTCTGGACCTTTTTCATTAAAATGACTGCAAATTTCGTTAGGTTCGTTTTCATAAATTGGGCTAGACATAAAATAAAGCTAATTTTTATTTACTAATTTTATAACCCAATTCTTACAATAGGCGGTTCGAGGTCTCTCAAAGTCGCCGTCCCTAAAGACTTTGAAGCGAGTAACGTCCATAACATGGGTGACTGCTCGTTTATGATTGCTGCTCCAATGTTATGGAACAGACTACCTTACTAGGAAATTAACGCTGCATGAAATTAACGCGAATCGTTAAAATTCGTGTTAATTTAAGTCGCGTTATTTTGTTACGCGTTAATTTCCGCGACGTTAATTACGTGCAGCGTTAATTTCCGCGCTCTTAATTACCAGTATTTTAACCCCAATTTTGGAACCTGTCCAGACATTCTTGACACCTAAAAAACATTTAAACTACAAGCTTTCTTTCTTTCCATTTACCCTTTATTTTGCACCTGTCACAAAAGCTAAGGCGAAGGTTTACAATATTTCGAATTCATCTTCATCGTTGTTGCTGTCAGAAATGATGTCAGCTCAGTTTTGTTCAGTTTTGAATTTTTTTGCATCTAGTATTGAAATAAATTTGTTCAGTTTTCACCACCAACTGTGTCTTAATCGCGTTAATTTCCTTTATTATGAAATTCTACCTCCTCTTTCTCGTTAATTTTCTTTATTCGAAAGTCGTTTTCCATTAAATTCGCGTTAATTTCCAATACCTTAATTTCATGGAGCGTTAATTTCCTATAATAAGGTACCTTTAAATATTGGACAAGCAGCAACTATTGACATTTTGCAAAAGATCACTTAAGACTTATTTATTTACGAAAACGTATAATTAATTTATTATCTTGTTGTTATTGTTTTGAGTAAATATTCATTATATTATTATTATTATTATCATTATTATTACTTTTAAAAGTTTTACAATAGTAAACGTGGGTTTTTTATGAATTATTTAGATTAAAAATACATAGGATAAGTTTTTAGCTCTTTCTCAGTTTCCAACATTTTCTTTATCATGATAATCAATTAGATATTTGTAATATATCTATATTTTTTAATGAATTATGTACATAGGAAACCTTTTTTAGATGTTTTTAGTACGTTATCATATGAATTTTTTTTCAAGATTATAATGCGCATATGATTATTTTCATAGAATATGCGCAATATAAAAAATAGATTAGTATTAGTAGTATCATTAACAATTATTCCTCGAGCCCAAATGGCCCCTGAGTCAATAGCCCATGAGGCCGAAGGCCGAATGGGCTATTGACTCAGAGGCCATGAGGGCGAGAGGAATAATTGTTTTAGTAAAATCCAACTAGTTGGTCAAAAATATCGAGACCAAACAACTTTAGCTAGTTAAAGTAAGACTTTAATTTTTTTTTGCCGCCAAAAATCTGGCGCTTTTCGCTACTAGTGGGCTATAACACATAGCCTAGTAGTACCTCAACCAATCAGAACGCAGCATTGATAATAGACCACTAGTTGGATTTTACTAATAATTATTATGTATCAGCTTGTCTAGGAGAATCAAGCTGTTGCAAACCTTGGAACTGTCTTGCTTTGTTTCAGATTCCTCAAGCAAGTATCTATTGGATGATCCACGACAACTACACCAAAGAGCATGCGCCCTTAGGAGTGAGCCAATACAAGCCAAAGGATGGCTCTGTTACAGTTTTAATGCATGAAAAACTCCCATTCCATGGACCCGTTACTGATACCCCAACAGTTGAGAGCTCTGGTCAAAGATTTGTTGGTATAAGATTGGTTGCCCTGTGTTTCTTGACCGCAATTGAAAGCATGAGCTTTTTTTGTAACTAGAAATAAACCGTCACAAAGGTGGGGCATAGGATGCCAGAACCTTGAAGTTTTTTCCTAATTTTTGCATTTTAGTAAATTTGGTGACCAACGGTTTCATTAGGAAATATAACGTATAGAACCTTTTGAGATGATGTTGTGAAACAATAAAACGGCGGCCATGTTGGTGTCCTAAAGCGGTCCTGGTAGTTGAACTTTTTTCTCGTGTAAACGCTTTCTTTTGTTCCAATAAATTTGCATAATTTGCAATTTGCTGCTCACGTGAGTGAAAATGCTCTATAAGTAATATGAGGTCAATAGGTCATTTGCATGATGACGTCATTTTACTACCACGACCAGAATCCTTCAGGGTTTTGCTTTCTTGTGCAAATTATTTAAACCTCGCTGGGATTACAAAATTTAAATTTGAAAGCGAAAAGGATTGTGGTCGTAATAGTAAAACGACCCCATCGTGCAAATGGCCTACAGCCCACGTTCGATATATTAAAATTCTAACATGAATCCGAGGCTTTAGGGTCAAAATTGCAAATTTTTCAAAACTCCATTGTCTCGAAATTCCCAAAAGAGACTTGGGCAAAAAGAAAACCAACCCAAATATAGAAAAATGACCAGAAAGCCTCGGAGTACTGTTAGAAGTTTAATATATCGAACGTAGGAAATTATACGAGTTGTTATGGCCTTTTTTGTCCTAAAAACAGATAAAGACAGTACCCAAAACAGCAAAGTTAAGGTATAGTATAGTTTTAATTTCAAGGAAGAAAACGTAAGGTTTAGTTTCTATACCAGCTAATTCAATAAAACTAAATTTCCAGTAAAATCCGTCTAAAATGGCAGCCAAGATGGTGACCATTTTGCATGACGTCACAGTTACCCCCTGGCGGTTACTCCCATAACTTTGGGGAGTGCGGCGGGACTCTGGAACTGTTCCAGGCAAGAAAAGATGAATTTGCGACCATGTTGCAGACAATAATTGTAAAAATATCGTACATGACCTTATAAATGCCTGGGGCGTCTATTTAATCTTAGGGGTCCAAGCGGGGGCGTTTAATAGATAGGAGGCTTTTGAAAGAGGGAGGCGTTTATTCTCATAACTGTAACAAGTTCAACAAAACTAATATGCTTTCGGCGAAAATATCAAGAGAGGTAAAAAAATAAACGGAATATCCACCCCACCAAATGATTCGTTTTGGGCCGTCTAGAGACCATATCGCTATTTCAAATCCCAACATCGATGTCAAAATCCTCGCTCAGGGTTACTGGGGTGTCATCGTTACTCTATTTTTAGTTTGAACTTAACTTTGGACAAAATGAATACGCAAAGCCTAATTGTTAATGAAGCAAGAAACTGAATGAATTGAATGATTTTGCTTCTTTTTGCTCATTCCTAGTATTTTGAGTAATTCACATACGGGCGTCTATTAGACAGGGGGTGTTTAGAGAGGGGCGTCTAATACAATTTTAACAACGTATAGGAGGCGGTTATTTGAAAGTAGGCGTCTATTAGGTCATTTACGGTAGGAATCCTGCCCCTGTCGCCGGCTCGGTAAAAAAACGACGAAAGGAGTGTAGTTTCGCACCTAAGCTTGATCGAGAATAATCAGGAATTACAGTATGCGGAAACTAAACCAGGGCCATTTTTATACCTTGTTTCAGACTGAGGGTGGTAAAAAATATACTCTGTTGAGTGGCACATTCCCGTGTAGCCCATTTATAGGAGTACATCCCTCCCGAGGGCAGTTCCCCACAGCGTTAACCCTATTCAGACTGGGTGGGGGGGGGGCTTTTCGAACCCCCCCTCCGGCAAAATCGTGATAACTCCTACACCGAAAGAGCTATGACGTTCAAATTTTCTGACTTTTCCTAAAATTTATCTAGGAACATTTTGGTATAATTACCATGTCGATGTGATTAATCATGTTGCCATGGCAACCAGTTTCTGACACATAGGTTTTGGAAAATTTAAAAAATGGTGATTTTTTTGTTTTAAGATCGCGTTTTTACACTTATAGTGCTTTTTGTTGTTAAAATGGTCTTTGCTTGGGACTAGTTTTTGAATTACATCAAAATGTTTCAACATCGAATATTTCGGGGGGAGGGGTGGGGTAAAATTTGTCACTTTTTTGCTTTGACAAATATGCTGCTCTATTTTCCAAATAACACTTCCAAAGTCATTTGTTTGGGTAATAAACATTAGTTTGATACTTCTTTTATACATTCTGAGCATTTTCCCCTTTGAAAGTTGCTTTAAATCATAATTTTAACAAAAAAAACCGAAATCCGAGATGGCGGATCCAAGATGGCGGACAACCATTTCAAATTTTAAATTTTATTGCTTCCTATTGCTTTTTCTCGCTGTACAAGTGTTTCCTTGGTACTAGTTTATAAGAAAGGATAACAAAGAGATGACTTTACCAATATTATTGATATTTTACGTATCTAAGTGGAAAAATAATAAGAGACATTGAAAAATCGGAATATGACGTCACTGTGACGTCATCATTGGGCGTGGCAAGTCAAATAGAGTGTGGGGCTTCTTTGTACGGAGATGATCATTGTGTGTAAATTTCATGACCCTAGCATTATTGGTTCCAGAGATACAGAGGGGGGGGTCCGAGGAGCCCCCCCCGTCACAGATTGACCAAAAAAGCCCAGTCTGAATAGGGTTAAATAAACACCCGCATAAAAGAAAGCCCAAGGGGACTCCCATATGAAATGAGGGGGTGCTCGTCAGAAAGTTTGAATTAAACCCCTCATGAGGAGCTTTCATTCAGTGGCTGTGCGCGTTGATATGCCAGTGTTTATCGCTGTTGCCATATGGCCTGTAACCAGTTAAGGTTTTCAAGACACTAAATGACCAGGCAGTCCAGTATTTTAAATAAATCTGACTTATCTAAGAATCCCAACCAATCCAAACCACCGTATGTCGATTAAGAAAAGTCAAGCGATCCTGAAATGCTTTATAGACCTCAAGTCTAGCGTTTGGTTTACGCTGCATGGGCTCCGAAAACGAAACCATGTTTTTTGACACTTAAAACTTTTTTCAGGTCGACTGCCGGTCAAGGTTTTTAAAATACTAAATGACCGGCAGTCCTATATTCTCAATAAATTTGACAAATCGAAAAAATCCATCTAATTTAAACTATCATATGTCGATTAGAAAAGTCAAGCGATCCTGAAACAGTTTATAGATCTCAAGTTTAGCGTTTGATTTACGCTGGGCTCAGAAGACGAAACCATGTTTTGTGACACTTTTCTGCTTCCTCTTTCCTCTTTCCGCTTTCCGCTTTCCGCTTTCCTCCTTCCTCTTTCCTCTTTCCTCTTTCCCCTTTCCCGACTTATCTAGGAAAGATCGAAGCGACTCTGCTAGCAGGGTAGCAGCCGGTTTTTTAGTGTTTTGACAATCTTGACCGGCAGTCGACCTGAAAAAAGTTTTACTAGTGTCACAAAACATGGTTTCGTTTTCTGAGAACAGCGTAAACCAAACGCTAAACTTGAGATCTATAAAGTGTTTCAGGATCGCTTCACTTTTCTAATCGACATATGATATTTTATATTAGATGGATTTTTCCGATTTGTCAAATTTATTGAGAATATAGGACTGCCGGTCATTTAGTGTTTTAAAAACCTTCTGACCAGCAGTCGACCTGAAAAAAGTAGCAAGTGTCACAAAACATATATAGTTTCGTTTTCTGAGCCCAGCGTAAACCAAATGCTAGACTTGAGATCTATAAAGTATTTCAGGATCGCTTGACTTTTCTTAATCGACATATGATAGTTTGGATTGGTTGGGATTGTTAGATAAGTCAATTTTATCGAAAATACCGGACTGCCGATCACTTAGTGTTTTGAAAACCTTAACCGGTAATGTTTACACCAGACTGGAACATTAAATTTTTGTTATAAAAGTAAAGAGGCCGCTGAGTAGAAACTAAAGGGTCCCAAAGTATTCCGTAAAACTCTTCTATTATAGAGAAACTTTACCTGATGGTTGCACCAAAATCCACTAATTGTCACTGCATTTCCTATCTGCAACCTCGTGGGTAGAATAACCTGATGGTTCTGATGGTTACACTAAAATCTAATAATTACTGCCTTTACTCTTTGTAACCTCGTGGGTAGAACACAGGGGCACCCAACGTCAATTTTCGAAAAAATATCTGTTCGGAAGACGATTTGAGGTCTAGAATTTTCGGAACATTTGTTATAAAATTTCTTGCTTGACGGCCTCTCCTAGGATTTCCGAACATCTAAGAAATGGTGTAATCGCCCATTTTTAACGGATTTTTACCCTAAAAAGGTCACCTAGAATTTTCGAACAGGTAAGTTTTGATCCCTATAATTTTCGGATCACTAGACTTTCAGCTAGGAAATCCGAACAGATGAAAAATTTTTAGGGGATAATAGTATGCCTATATCTACCGTTTAACTACCAAATACGTTCAACAATGCTATGTTTAAGTGGTTTTGAACTATATTCTCGTTGGGTGCCCCTGAGAACATACCTGATGTTTACACTAATATCTAATAATCACTGCATTTCGGCTCTCTGTAACCTCGTGGGTAGAACATACCTGATGGTCACACTAAAAGCTAATAGCCACTGCGTTTCGGCTGTCTGTAACCTCGTGTGTAGAGCATACCTGATGGTAACACTAAATCTAATAATCACTGCATTTTCTCTTTGTAACCTCGTGGGTAAAAAATTGAATGCCTATCTCCTGGAAATTTTGTCCTCTCCTTTGAGCATGTTCAACGATCTACAAGTAAAACACTTTGGCTTTCTGAGGGAGGCTGGTCGGGCTTGGCGAACTTCTAAAACAAAAATCTTTTATTTCACCTACTAATACATTTACAGAATACATTGATGGAATAGAATATAAAAAAAGGCTGATAAAGCGGTAAAAGTTATCTTTATAAAATGCGCCATGATGTCAAAGAACAAAATAAGTTGAAGTTTTCTAGCCCGAAGAAAACCTATTCCTGAAAAGCAGCTCTGATTCCTTTCTCTTAACTAGAAAATGCATATCCCCGTGTACCTGATTTTTACCAGCAGCGATTCGTCGAGTACACAGCTGTTTTGCTACTCTGAGTGAGAACGTGACAATCACTTCTGATGCTTTCATTGACATCAGTTCCTATTTCGATATTATGTCTAATTTAAGCTTCGCCGCGTGATAGCTCTTCATTTATACTGTTTATAGCGAAAAGCTCTTTGTGATATTTTGGTAGAAATTTTAGGTAGAATTGCTTTTTTTGGAGTTATTTTTCTCCATATTCAAATTTGTTGCAAAATTATGTTAAAGCAGGGGCACCCAACGGCAATTTTCGGAAAATATCTGTTCGGAAGACGATTTGAGATCTAGAATTTTCGGAACATTTGTTGTAAAATTTCTTGCCTGCCTGCCTCTCCTAGGATTTTCGAACATCTATACAAAATGGTATAATTACCCATTATCAACGGATATTTACCCTAAAAAAGGCCACCTAGAATTTTCGGGAGCCTTTTCCTGACTGAAATGTTCGAAAAGGTAAGTTTTGATCCCTATAATTTTCGGATTACTAGACTTTCAGCTAGGAAATCCGAACGGATGAAAAGTTTTTAGGGGATAAAAATATACCCATATCCACCGTTTAAATACTAAAACACGTTTAACAATGCTATGTTTAAGTGGTTTTGAACTATATTCTCGTTGGGTGCCCCTGTTTATAGCGAAAAGCTCTTTGTGATATTTTGATTGACTTGTTGTTTAGGATCCTGAGGAACTCTGGCTTAACTGGTGAAGGTATTCTAGCGATTTTTCCCTTCAATTCCAAATTCTTTGATGTGCCGCCAGATGCCATGCAAAAATGTCAACGCTTGCGGCTAAAAGAGACCATTTTCAACTTTGATTACATGAATCGAGTAAATAAAACGAATTGAAAATATATGATTTTTTAATTTTGTTTTTCGTGTGCAACCCTAAACTGAGATCTTTACAGCTAAATTTAATTGCGTTTTGCCCAGAACACCCTAAGTGAGACCAAAATCCGAAATGTACACCCCTAAGCGAAACGACAAGCATCCCCGCCCCCTTCATATGGGAGTCCCCAAGCCCCTTGGAAAGAAAGACCTGCGATTTTTTGTTTCTGGTTGATGTGTAGAGAGAAATCAATTTGCAGAAGTTCTTCAAATTGTTTCTTAGCTCCCCAAACGTTTTACAATCCAACGTGGGTTATAAAACTTCCTGTATAAAAGTGGAAATGATCCTTGCAGTTGAATAAACAACCTCAGCGGTTGCAAAAGAACCTGAAAAAAGTGTATTATCTCTAGGTTTCATTTTCACGTGAACAGCAGTAGCTAACAATGCATTTGAAATTTGCAGAAATGCTAGCTATTGCTGTCCACGAAAATATGCATGAATGTTGGAGACTGAATAATAAGAAACTCAAAGGTCATATAAAACGACCGTTAATCTGGAGAATCTCAACTTTTTAATTAAACAAAGCTATTCAGCGGTTTCAAAATCATTCGCTTATTTGTTTAAGTAGATCTAGACCAAAATGTTTTCAAAACCGATAACAAGGGCGCCTCTAAACATAATAATTAAATTCCTCCTTGTAGCAACTGGCTAAAGCTATCTCCATCTTTCACACATTTTTTCAAAAAGATTGAAACTACTATTAATAAGGTGAAATTGCATTTCAAAAGCGCTTCGTTCTCTACAGATAACGGCCGAACATCAAGATTGTCGACTTTTTACCGCATTTCTGGTCATAAAAGCTTCATCACAAAATATCTCGATAACGCTCTAATAGATTTTGCTTAAACTTCACGAACATTAAGGCGGCTGTTGGAAGAAAACGCTCCAGTGGACGATTTTGGAAGAAGAATTCCCAGCACTTGCCGAGAAACACGCCTGCAAGTAAAATAGGTAATGGCGTCATTTTGTTGCTATGACAACTCCGATGTAGCTGTAACCCTGATTATAACAAATTTTCATCTTTATCTAACACAACTGAGGTGGTAATTTTTCCAAATCTTTGTTTATGGCGACGTAGTTTAATTATTCCCAGACTTGGGAGGTATTGACCCTAAAAAACCCTATCGAGCCACCTTAACAATAGGAAGCCTCCGAGTCATTTTCCCGTATTTTATTTTAGGTCCAATCACTTTGGAATCGCCGTTAATGGACCACCGTTGAGCCATAAAATCCTGGACGTAATAAAGAGGTAGCCGCATCAACAGTGTCTTCAGAATAAATGACTCCGTTTTTTACGTTTGGTTTGAAAGAATGTGGTCGTAATCACGAGGTGGTCGTTTCAACAGGGTGACCGTGCGGCGGGGTTCCCGGACTGTAATTGCTTGACATAAAAGTCAGAACCTTGTGTTAAACTTTTTGTAAGCCGTAAAAAAAAGTTCTTCACGAAACGTTTTTACCCCAGAAAAGTCATCTTAAAATTTTTCGTCTATAAGGGTCCTTGGAGCAACATCCAAGAGGCCTACTTGCCAAGAACTAGCATTTCGGGACAAACTGTCTCTGAGATATTAGCCCAGTTATGCTCTGATGACTTCATGTAAGGCGTAGGTAAGGAGTAAATTACGTTGAGCATGGAATTGGCTAAAACTCAATGTTATGAGTTCGAATGTTTGAGGATAATTATACACTGACTATCAGCACGGAGGGATGTCGAATTAACACAAGGAAGTTTAATACAAAAGGAACACAGTCTTTCCAGAGCTTTAAAACACAGCATCCGCCAACACAAACTTGACTTGAACCTATTAGTAAAACTAAACAGCTTCTGCCAGCAATAACTAACTCTCACTTGAACTTCAGACATCTTACGGCTCCCGCCAACTTGTAAACACAGAACTTGAAAATCGACCTTCGTCACACTTGACTAAACACAGTACTCCAGATCGTGGGAAAAACTTAGTTCGTCAAAAGAACTCGTTTGGAACTTGTATACCGTTTGACATAGGGTTCTAGAAAATACTAAACAGGCGAATAGTAGTAGCTTTTCGACATGTTTTATGATTTCAGTAACTGATGCAAATCCGCTGACTCATGCTGAAATGAAAACATGCCATAATTAATTATTCACGAATAATCCAAAAACGTAGAGAACGTAGGAGAAAGTCACGCAACGCATGAAAGCAATTTTACTACGTAACACTCAACAACTACAAAACGTCTTTGGGCAGGATTTTGTAACTTTAAATTCATCATGAAATGTTTTTCAGCACTCGAAGAGAAATTTCGTGTCTCTGCGTGGCCATGTAATATACTCTACTTTCTCCTCAAGTAAATTAAAGACTAAACTCGAAGTGATCTCAAGATATCACGAAG